TGAAGAGTTCATTCACTGAGCTGCTCATGCATCAGAAAGTGAGAGATTTTCTGTCTTCCTGGAAAACCCTTCATTTACCCAGGACGCGTCCTGCCACGTTCTTAGGACGCCCAGCTGCCTCTTCTTTCTGTGTGCCTGTGCTGGAGCTGCTGAGGCCTCTGTCCACAATCACATGGACCACTTGAGCCCAATGGTCTCACGACATAATTTTCTGTACTTGGAGTTTGGTGAGATCTACTGATTTCTTAACTTGATATTGATTTTGCTTAACATGAAAACTCCTAAGCCTTTGGAGATCAAGGCTGAAAAGAAGTGTGATTATCTTAAAATTAGAGAAAAAAAGGGGCAGGGGAGATTTCTTAGCTTTAGCTCCTGGTGAGGTTGAAGAAATTAAACTCATGCACAGGCAGCACGAGGACCCTGGAAGCCACTCCCCTCAGCCCAGGGCCTCGTAGCCCCCGCTGGTGGCATTGCCGCAGCAGCAGGCTATCCTAGAACTGTCGCTCTCCACTGAGTTCCCTACGTGGGCGTATCGCAAACTGCATGCAAGAGAAAAGCAAACTAAGGTCTCAAAAGTGGAAACAGGACCTGGCAGAGGAACAATGAGAGACAAAGTTAGATGGTCTCAGAGTATCCTGGGGCATAACTACCTATGAAAATGCCTTTAGGGAGGCAGAGAAGCAGAATAGGAAACAGAACCAGCCAGTACAGAAGCACTTCTCTCTTTGTTTTTCTTTATTTCTTCTTCTCCCCAAAGCCCCCCAGTACATGGTTGTATATTCTAGTTGTAGGTACTTCAGGCTCTGCTATGTGGGATGCCGCCTCAGTATGGCTTGATGAGCAGTGCTGGGTGTGTGCCCAGGATCCGAGCTGGTGAAACCCTGGACCACTGAAGCAGAGCTCACAAACTTAACCACTCGGCCACGGGGCCAGCCCCTCCACTTTTTCCATTTTGAAATAGAAACACTTGACTTTCAGTAGCACCAGATCAGTTTTGGGGATGAAGGTAAGGTGATTTTGATTAGGGCTTTGGTGACATGGGAGGCTAAGTTTGGGTGAGTAGTCAGCAACATGAGAGCCAGTCTTATTGAAGGTTGGCACAAAGGCAATAACTACTCATATAATGGCCCACCCCCTTTCTCATCCCTTAGATTCTGAAATAAACTGACAAAGGAGGTAAATTGTGTAGATCAAATAAACTTGTTGAAAATCCACTCGTCAGTGACTGTGTCTGGTTTAGACCATTAATGAGCAATAATTGCCTGTGTACAGCCCTCCTAGCTTTGTGGTCTGGCCTGAGATTTCATTCTAGAATGAAAATTAGGAAGCCAGGAGGATTGGGGAGAGAAAGGGGACATGGTGGAAGAGGATCCAAGTGGAGGGAGAAGTTTGGGGGATCTAAGTGATTTTGTGCGTGTGGGATTTTTCTGTATTTTTACCAATAAAACCTTTGATAAATAAATGAGTCAAGCTGAGCTGTTTCTGTTTTCCTTGCTATGGCTGATGACATTTTAGATATCAGAGTTTTAAGTCCCTATCAAGGACCTCTTGAGACACTTCAGCAGATTCGAAATGGAAGTCGGGCCCAGCCAGCTGGGTCTGGTGTCATCTAAATTTGCGACAAGTTGAAGCACAAATAGTAGTCAAGCTTCTTGATTTCCTTGATAAAATGTCCATTTTGATATTTGTTCCTGAAGCACACGACTTTCTCTTTCACCAACCACGTACAACAGTGGTTCTTATCTCAAAGTTAAACCTGAACCACCTATTATCTAGCATCTCTCAAAGAGTGATTGATGCAAGTGCTACTTCTGAAAGCTTGTGTACTAAAGGATGCACTAGAATGTCTAAGTTCTATTTGTGCTTTAAGTTAAATACTCCAAAGCAGTATGCCTGGGTTATAACAGCACATGCCCTGTGGAAACGCTTTCCATAGCCACCACACTGTATGCTGAATTAACGTTAATGCCTCTAGATGTTTGATTGAGAGGAAATGCTAGCAATAGCCTTATGGAAAATGTTTCTCCATCTTCTGCAAAACCAGGCACAGATGTAAAATATTCACGTTGACATTTTTAATACATTTTCTCCCCAACTGAAGCCAAATCCTAATCAGAAGCCATTCTACTAATGTAATATGAGACAGCACTGTCTTGGAGAGGGAAATTCAGGTGGTCGGTATGATCGCTGCATTCTCTCCCTTTGGGGATCTCCCTGAGATGCCAAATCATAATGAACCTGTTTGCGGGGTCCTGAAGAATAAGGAGAGATAGGAGATGTGGATGTTTAATGATATCAAGATAAGACAAGACTTCATCTATCTCACGATAGAGATGGTTTTGCCAGTGGGACCAGAAATATTCAATGTCATTGACTACTACCTCAGTAGCTCTCACCCCAGGAGGGATGACCTGCCTTATCTGTCTCTGTCAGCCAGCTAAGCCAAGGGGGCCTGCCAACATTTTCCCAGGGACTCTCTGCCCCTATGTCTGGCCAAGACCGCTGTTGACAGCTGCCTGGTACCCTTTCAATGTGGGCATGAATTCAGGCAGATGATCGCCAAGCCCCATTGGCCTTGGAGCCAGTCTGTCTCAGGATGGCTTTGCCAGTTTCACTTTGTGTTCATCTAATAATTTACCTTGAGTGTGAAGGGGACACCCTGAATCCCCTGATTTTCATGTTCTTGGAGACCATCTTCACCTTGGCCCTCAACTATCAGTAACAGGAGATCGTAGCATCCCTCACATACACATAATCATGCACACACACACACACACACACACTCACACACACACACACACAAGACTGTCTATTGGTTTTTGGTTTTGTTTTGCTCTTGCTAACTATGGCAGAAAGAAAGCAGTTGTTCTCCATGTTCAAATTAATGGAGAGAAGAGACCAAAGGGGAAGGAAGGTCCAGCGGTGTCCTGGATCCCCTCTCTGAGGAGTGAACGCGGGCAGCGTGGACCTCTCTGAAGTGAGGGGGCAGGCAAGGCTGAAGCAAGCTCCAAGTAAACGCTATTTAAAGACAGGGAAAAATGCTATGTACACTCTGCAAAGAGAGGATGGAAGAAGCACCTAAATTGGTTGGGGGCATCAGAAACCCTTCTCAGAGAAGGTGACATTAATCCTGAGACCTGAAGGACTGGCTTATTAGGCACACATGTGGGAGGAAGGGCTTTCACACTCTGGGAATGTAGTGAACCAAAATCCAGGGACCCGAGAGTGCAGGGTACTTTTGGGAGAGCCAGCCAGAACAGGGTAGGACATTTAAAGCAGATGGGAGGTAAGATCCAGAGCAAGAAAATCCTTGCAGGCCTCGCCAAAAGGAATTTGGATTTTCTTTCAGGCCTGTGGTTCCTCAACAGAGGGCCAGCCACCTCTGGGGGAGATGGAGTTAATGACAAGAGACGGGAGAACCTACAGAAGCACCGAGCTTGCAGAATAATGCCACACACGTACGTGCTCCTATTTTTCAATTATATGTAGATGCTTTTGTGATTAGCTTAATATCAACTGAAAGCATTACTGAGCAGAAAATAAAATGAAAATCACTTTTGAATTCACAAAGGCTTTTATTATTGTTATCTCAATCAATGTGAAAGTGCAATTACACGTGGTTTTTTATCTTTATGTACTTGGATAAAAATAGTAAAAGTACAAATTACTATTGTGTAAGGTCTGCAAAATTTGGAGGCATTTTAAATGTCTGGGAATCAATGCTAGTGGCAATGGAGCATCACTGAACATTTCTTAGAAGTGAAGTGATGTGAAAAACTTTGAGTGTTAAAAAAAAAAATCCCACTGGCCACAGTGCAGATGCTGGTATGGAGAGAGGCCAGACAGAAGCCCTTCCCTGCATTCCTTCTGTCCTGTCCACACTGGCCTCCAGGACATGCCACACAGTCCTCTGCCTCAGGGCATTTGCACCTGCTATCCCTTTTGGAAAACTTTTCTCCCAAATACTTATTCATGTAAACATCTCCGTGAAGCACTCCCTGACGTCCTCCAAAGTGACTGGGCCCTCTATCGATGTATCCTGGGAAGGCTTGTCCTGGAGATGGAGGGCAGGACTGGGGCCAGACGAGGAGAAACTTCTGGGTCCCTCTGGGCTAGGAGCAGGCGCCCTGTGGTGGCCAGTGAGGCAGTCTAGGACACTACATGCAGATGAGCAGTAGTTTTAGTTACTCTCTGCACAGTATTCCAGTCCACTGAGGTTGAAGGTTCAGTGGATACAAAAAGATCATAGCCTTGCCCTGGAGGCAGCGTGTGGAATGAAGTGGACAGGCCCATCCTCCACTAGATGACCAGGACCACTGTCCACCCCCTTCAGGCTGGAGGGGGGAAGTAGGATGACATCTGGCCCCTCAGAATGGTCCTGTCCCAGGGCCCCATCCCTGGAGCCCTTAAAGTAAGGGCTGCATCTGGGTAGCAAGGTGAGAAGGCTGACGGCAAGAACCTGAGAAACACATCCAACACGTGGGCATCTCCAGCGCCCTCCGAGATGGGGACCCCAGAGCTCTGCTGGTCTTCATTGTAAAGTTGGTGGGGCTCATGTGCCTTTAACTTCTGATCCCTTCGCTGGCCACTACAGATCTAGGACCTTGACCCGTACGTGCACACGCGTTCTCATTCGGAACTCAAATAGCCTGGTGGGAAAGGCAGCACCAAGCTAGGCTCAGACCTAGCGACCTCTCCATCTCATCACACACTAAGTGCTTCTCTGAGTCTGGACTTTCAGGTCCAAGAACAGTGCTCCCTCCAACACACAGGGACATAGCACACGACCCGTTACAGATGCAGAGTCAGAGCGCGCTCATGTCAGACTGTAACCCCAGAACTCTCAAAACTCCACATCGATTAAGCACTTACTGTTGGTTGGGGGGTGCATTCCCAAAACATCTCTGGGGGCACGCCACGATGCTTCACAACCAGCCTTCTTCTGGATGTGGCTGAACTTTTATTCACTTCCAACAAAATTCTTTGGTAGAAAAGGCAAGTGCAGTTATATCCATAGGTCAGAATTTATTTCATACCACATCATTTATAGCATTTGAAAGGACAACGTTCAGCTCAACATCATTTATACTCGAAACAGAAAAGCACAACTTGGTAAGGCATCAGATTACAAGAGTCTGGGGAGAAGACCTTGCCCTCCCTCCTGGCTTCTGTGATACCTGGGTGGTTTCTCTTAAGTCTGTCAAGCACAGAGAGCAACATGACAAAAGTTTCATTTCCACAGACTTGGTAAAAAGAGACAACAAAACAGGTTTGGAGTATGTTGAATTTTTAAATTTTGTCTGGTCTACACTGGAGGAGTTAAACTAAAGTGGCATTTTCTGAAGCACAGCTCTTATAAAGTCTTCTCTGCAACACCAAGCTACAAGTTGAACAATGTTTGAGCTTTGAAGTGAATCAACTTTGTATTTAACTCAAGCATATACTTTTCAAAACTTTTCCTCTCAAGTCTCTATTTTCACAAAGAAATAAAAATGGAGAAAAACCTCGAGGAGAATCGTACCTTTACTATTCTATGAAATGCAGCAACATATTAAAAATGGTTGCAATTTAGTATCAACCCTCTAGATGTTCAGTGCTAATGGCACAGGTTGTATCAAGCTGCGCAAAAATAAACCACTTGAGTAAAGCTCTCAGAACTGGGCCACACAGGCATTCTTCACTAAGCGCTTTCCACCAGTGGCCCTAAAGGCAGAGGGTGCCAAAGGTCCCTCCCAGGGGGACCAGGAGTGGCCTCCATATGCTGTCACATGCATAAAACTCCTTTCAAGTTTCGTGTTCTGTCTTAAAAAGTAATTTGCACTGTACTCCATGGCATTTGCTTAAATATAAAAATACTGTTTAAACTTACCAGTCAAATAACTCACCTCCCACCCCCACCTCTGCACACCCGGGCAGGCAGCGCCCAGTCTGGGAAGCTGGCTTCCCAGAGAGGTGAGCCAGGCACCCAAGCTCCGAATGCATTTCATTGGGTCTCTTGAGGCATTTCCACAAATGAAGTAATTTTATTTACTCAACTTGCAACTAGCCACTTCAGAAAACTATGACTGATATCAATTTCAATGTACTGAAAAATAATAGTAAACAGTCTATGTATTTTAGATTTTAAACAAAGAAATTAATTTCATTTACTAACAGAAATAAAAGAAGCCCCTGACCTAAAGTATAATCTGATCTTTTACTTTTTCTATAGAAAAACACAAGACCCACAGAAAGAGAAAACTCTTCTATGCAATGGCTCTACAGAGAGTTCCCTGGTAATTGAATAGATTTTGGTAAATCTGCTCTACCCACTGCAAACTCCACACCACAATTCAATGCATTAGGCTCCTTTTTGGCATCTCAGAAGCATACCCATCAGAGTGCAAAACCTCTCTCCTAACATGACATTTTTTTCTCAAGAAGGTTAAGCCCTAAAAAACTGCCACCCTAAAGAACATTAATGTTTCACAAAAAGTGGTTTTCTGACTGTCCCACAGTATGGATGCAGCTAAGTGTGGGGGCTGTGGTCCTGGCACACACCCTGCTCCTGGCCGGCCACAGCAGACCCCCCACGACCCCTCTGACACGCAGCACTGGCCTCTGCTGCCAGGTCCCTGAAAGGCGTCTATGGATCTATTAATTGGTTGTTTTCACAGGTTTCAAGTGACATTCATTTTAAAACAGGTTTTAAGAGGTGTTCATGTTTTGTTTTAAGATGGTGTCAAAAATGTGTTAAGATACACTTAAAATCATATCTAGGGTATAATCAAAAAGAGATCTGTTTAAAGAAGTGTTAACAAAAAGAGGAAGCCAAGCTTCCCTCACATGTTTTTGTGACCATGCTTTTTCCCACTAACTGCTTAGAAGTCTGAATCAGCAGCAAACGCGGCCATATGTATACGTACGTGTACGTGGACATGTGTACGGAGAAGTACGTTGTGCCTGACTTATGAAAAAAGCACACTTTCTGTCCCACAAACATTTGCTGCAGGCCTTTCAAGGGTGCTCCCTTCCCTGCAGGGAGTGACAGGACAATTTAAGGTTGGCCGCTTACAAACCACCGGACAGGTGCTCCCCAGCGCCGGGATACTGGGACTAAGGCCGTCCAGAGCACGTGCATCGCAGCAAGTACCACCTGCTGATCTCAACAGGAATCACTCCCTAAAGCAAACCTAAGAGCTACCGACCAACACTTGCTTTACCCCTCGTGGCATTTTGGCTATTTATACAGTGTCAACACAACTGGTCTGAGAACAAAAAATTCCAATAAATAATTTTTCCTTTTTGGCCTACTCAGTGCCAAAGAGTTAGTGGGATGATTTTTGTTGGTTGTTTTTAAATCTTAAGCACCTGGGTATTAGTTTATGACAAAAGTGACTGGTTTAAGGTTTTGTAGGCAGAAGTCTCTCATTTTCTCTCAGATTTTTGCTCCTTAAAAAAAGAAAAAAGAAGTATGGCATTTCAAAGCTAAGAGTTGTTCTGAGCACAGCTGGCCCGTATACACAACACACTGTGCACTAGGCAGCCCTTAGCCAAGGGATGGCTAACCACGCCATTTCCTCTTTGTTCTTCTGTACATTGTAACGTAGCGAAACTTCCTTCTTGACACCCAGATTTGAGGTGTCTTTTCCATATTAGATATAAATTAATCCAGAGATATAGAGCTATAAATTTCCAGAGTTACAAAAAACGTTAACTTACTTCAAAAATATCTTGCGTAAGTACCTCCTCCCTAAGCGCAAACACACAGGACAACCAGAGGCAAGAAGGAGCGCACGGGGTGAGGACCCTCCTGCAGCGCAGACACAGGCTCTGCAGACAGGCTCCGCACGGTGCAAGAAGTCACGTCAGCTAATGTAGCCTCTAATGTTGATTCCGTCGGGACACAGCTGCTCTGGGTTTCTTGCCGGCGTCATACGAAGCAGCAGTACGTCTTCCACCAGGACTTGGAGAGGTTTTTCATTTTGTCTGGAGTCCTGCTTTTGGACTTCTTTGGCTGCTGCTGGGAGTCTGAGTATTGAATGCCAGCGACAATGGCCGCGTCAAAGACCTCTTTGAGGTTTTTCTGAGTCAGGGCCGAGCACTCAACGTAGGAGGCGGCTTTGATTTCCTCGGCACACAGCTTAGCCGCCTCTTCAGGCACGGGCTTCTCTTTGCATTTGTCCAACTCAATGAGGACTTTGACATCTTCTCTCAGATCTGACTGAGTTCCAACCAGGATGATAGGGGCTTTGGGACAGTGGCATCGAATCTCCGGCACCCATTTCTCACTGACGTTCTGGAAGGAGGAAGGGCTCACAACACTGAAGCACAGAAGGAAGATGTCCGTGTTGGTGTAGCAGAGAGGCCGGAGCTTGTCAAACTCATCCTGCAACCAATCAAAGCAGCCAAGAGGTATTTTTAAAATCAATTTTCATCTCATCAGCAAAAAGACTATCTTAATATTTTTCTGGACCGGATCTGGCAGTGAGAGAAAGCCCACTGGGTATGGAAGGAAGAGCCTGTGCTGCTTACTTAAATGGGGCCATGCTCCCAGTGCCACAAAATCTGCCAAAGGTGTTCAACATCTTCATCAATACTCATGACCTACTTGCGACTTACCATAGAAAAAGTACTTAGATTTGATGGATTTTAGAAATAAAATTTATTTTATCTAGACTTCAGCCCAGAGTAACCGATGCTTACTTTTTCAACTCTGGTACTTAGCTACTCTTCTAAAATTTACCCAGCACCCATACTGATCCCTAAGACCTCAGCCTGATCCCAGTGAGCCCCAGTCTAACACAGCTCCCCTCTTTAGGAATCCAGCCCTGGGGCCAGCCCTGTGGTTGAGTCGTTAAAGTTCCACGCACTCCGCTTGGGTGTTCTGGGTTCGCAGGTCCCAGGTGTGGACCTACTCCATTCGCCAGCCACAACATGGAGGCATCCCACAAACAAAAGACAGAGGAGACTTGGCACAGATGTTAGCTCAGGGCGAATCTTCCTCATCAAAAAAAGAAAAGAATCCAGTGCTGCCCATCCTCAGGCCAACTGTGAGCAATGCCCATTTCATCCCATCTGCACTGTGCACACTCAGGGCACACACCGTGCAGAGTAATGTTAACCAGACACAAGGACAGACCAAGAGTGGGGGCTGAGGACCTTTGTCAGGTGGCTCTCACCAGCAACTCAGAGACTCTGTGCCTCTCACTGTCACTGACAACATTAGCTTACACACTCTCATTCTTGCTCTGTATACTTCTTTCTTCTTGCTTTATCTCCTTTTGCTCCCTCCTTTCTTCCTTACTCCCCCCTCTTTTTCTGTCTACCAATACCAGAGGCCTCCATGCTAGGTGCTTGGGGAAGACAGAGGACCAGAGAAAGGGCATACGCACCATATCCTAAGGTACAGAGACTGGATGGGATCGGTTAGAGTCGATTATCTAAGCCAGCCAGCAGGCTGCTGCACACTCTGCTGCAGTCCCCTACTGAGAGACGCATGCTGACCACAGGCACTGTGAAGGGCCCGGGACACGGCAGGGAACAGACAGACACGGCCTCCACCTTTCTAGAGATGTCTGTCTCCAAGTCAGCATTTCTTTACGTCAAACACCCGACAGTCCCCTCCGGTGCCATATTCAGCTAACTGGAAGCTTTCACTCAACTCTCTTGCAGGAAAATATTTACATCATCTCATTCCTATTTAATATTTCTATCTGTGGGTGCCACATCCTCAGGTATAACGTGACGGATAATTTCCCGTGGCAAAAAAGTTAAATGTCATCCAGGCTTTTGTTACTCAATTGGCATACTCTGATTATTTAACAAACTACCATTTACATGCAAATTATTCTGCATTTGTGGTCTTTTTCTAGGCGTAAAGGAAACCTGGATCTGTTTTATTTGAAGGCACTTTCTTCATTTGAGGCTCCCCATATTTCAGTTGTGGGGCAGCCAATGATATTAAAGCCGACCAGCTGAAACACTCAGGAAGTAATATGGCATTTCAGAACGTCGCTGCCACGTGTCCATCTTCTATAAGCCAAAGTTAAAAAGGAACGACTTAGGTTTCTCGGTGCCAACTTTGTGCCGAACGAATAAACACTGAAACTCAACCAGGTAGACTAAGGCCCAGCTCTGAAGATCTTTTAATGAAATGTTCCCTCTGTTTTCAGAGGGCTTAAAGGAAAAAGCACAAAACCAAGAGTGGTGTGAAGTCAGCTCCCTCAGGCAGCTGCACTTGCTGCTGGAGGGCAGTTGCCCTTGGCCAAGCCCTGGGTTCTGGGGTTGCATTACCAGTAAAAAGAAAGGTGCGGGCAGGGGCTGGCCTTGGGAATCTAGCCCCCCAGACCTCCTGAGATTCTGACTAAGGGCTTGGGAAGTAAAGCAGAAATTAAACCCAACTGCTCACTGCCTGACCAGAAACCTTAGATAGTTGCTGAAATAGACTCAACACACGTATGTGCGAGAGGCATACTGGAATGCACCCTCAAGGAAATGCGCTCCGAGGCCCGGCACTTTGCACGCCTTGCCAGGTCTGCGGGAAGACGTACAGGATTCAGTCCAGGGGCAGGGCAGGGCAGACACGCAGCTGGACAGTAGCATTGGTCAAGATGCAAACTGATTTTTCTTTTTCTTCTTTTTTAGTACGTTTTCCCAAGTGCTTTATGGGTCAAAAGGCTGAAGAATTCTCCACTCCTATTGGCAATGCTACAGTGACCTGTTCCTGTTTCAGTGCTGCTCCTTTCTCTTCCATTTCTTAAAGTCCTCAGTTTCTGATCACTTTCACTTGAGTAAGACTGTGAGTCCAGTGTCAGAAACTCCTTTCAACATCTTATATACTCACCGACCCTCCTTAACGAGAAAACGCACAGGCACAGAAGCAATTTCTAGTCATTTACTCAGCCAGTAGACTATATTCTTGGCCTGAGCTTCTATATGAAAGCCAGTTTGGGCCCCAGCTTATGGCTTCCTGTGCTCATCTTCTCCTGGAGTGTGAAACAGAGGTCGCTGGAGCCACGTTCCCCTACGAGGCAATCATGAGGGCTGCCCAGAGGCAGAAGGAGACCCACTGGCTGGGTCAGCATTGAAAAAATCTGGCAGTGTCCAATCAAGTCCCTTAGAAGGTACTTCCTCAGATCTGGGTTAGGACGACCACCTTGCCCAGCTTTGCTAATAGTCAAGACCGAATACTAACTGACAGTTGGGAGCAGGAAAAAAACTGACTTTATCTTACCAGCTGTGTATTTTTCATAAATACTTTTTGAAGTTGATTTTCTACAAATCCTTAGGTGGTGGCCTCCTTCATTACATAATAAGGTATACTTTACTAGCCAGAACATCAGCTAGGAAAGGCAGCAAATCTCAATGAAGACACTGCTGAGAGACCAGAAGAATAATTTCCAGATAAACAAAAGCTTACCAGTTTGCATCAAAATCTTTTTTTCCCCTAATTATAAGCTTTTTTCATGCAAATATTTCTAAAATGATTCTCATGCTTCCCTGGCTTTTAGACGGACCACACTAAGGAAAAATCGAACTCTTCCTTGGTAACTCAGGATCATTTCTACAAAGTTTGTCCGGTAAAAGGCCCATTCCTCCTCCAAAACTGCTTGGAAGTTTCCCTCCCAGACCCACTGGCCCTGAGTACCGAGCTGCCATTGTCTTCCCCTTTCTGTAACTTGGCTGGTTTCCTTCATAAAGTGGACTAACTGGTTTGTCTTCCCTATGGACTGTAAGTGTGTTGAGGGGCAAGCCCATGACAAGTTTGCATCCTCAGGACCTAGCACACCATTCATTCATCCATTCACAAACCCTGTTAAAGCCCTACTATGTGCCAGGAAGGAGGGCACAGGGGAGGGAGGCAAGAGGCATAAAACCCCCGCCCAGGAAGCTGCCTCTGCAAGAACCAACGCTTAACGGAGAGCCCAGTGGGGCGGGGACGGGCACTGGGCTGCCTGCTCCTCCCCTAGAGGGTCCCAGACAACCATGCCTCTCAGTGTCCTGTGCTCCCTATCTTCTACCATTGTTGTCAGGCTGTTCAGCTGCCACTTCTTGCTTTAGCACGGACCCCTATGTTTATTGAGATGCTGCTCTGCCCCCATTTTGACCCACAGTAGGAAAAACATTCTCACTTTATACAAAGCAATTAAGCTTTAACTATAAATACCAGAAGGACATTCAGAAAGATTAAATATGAGAAAAGCCCGAGTTCTTTGATTTTTCTTTTCCACAGGCAGTAAAATAAGGACTGTGCCTGGTTTTCCTGCTCGCAGTGCAGGGGAAGCGGAGGTGCTTCAGTGATGGGTAAGGAGAGAACGGAGGAGGCCGGGCTACAGCTCACGGCACTGGGGCCACCACCAAACCAGCATCCACCTGGGGATCAAGGCTGCCAGTCTCGCATCACCTTGAGGTTTGAAAACTATGGCTCTGAATGTGCTGTCCCAGAGGTGAGCAACGTGGAGGCCCTGGCTTGGCTGAGGCACCTGGGGACACTGGAAAGCCTACTTCTTCTTAAATGCAGATGGACATGTGACAACAGCTCAGAAAGTGAGGTGGGCACTTTTACCTGCCTACAAAGTGCCCGCAGCACTTTCTCGAACTCTAGCAAGTACTGGAGAGACTGCATGTTTATTAACTGCCACTTTGGCAAACTCAAGAAATGGCACCCTGGGGTCTCAGAGAGCACAGCGAGACTTCAGTGACTTGAGCACCATGCCAGGAGGCACAGGGTGATGACAAGCGCCCAGAGCTCTTTGGGGGTACGCCCCAAGGGGGACCTCTTCCCATCACCTGGGTGTATCATCCAAGTGTGTGATGCTCGAGACAAGAACAAATGGTCATGATTTGGAAAGACTAAGTACCAGGTCCTTCACTCCTCCAGCCTCGGACAGCTCTGATCACTGCTTCAAGGGAGGCGATGGCCCAGTGAGCAAGCCCACAGCTTAGGAAGGGAAATATTAATGCTTACTGACATGAACTCTATCTTTTTCTTGAGTAAATTTCTTAAATATTTGGCTTGTTGGCCTTTAATCAAACGATTATAAGATATCCCCAACTTTGAGACATGATTACAAAGCCTCATTGATAATTTTTAACAAAAACTAGAAAGTGAATAACATCAGAAACTCCTATAAGATCAGAACTGTTCTTAACTGTCTCCCCGGCCTGCCCATGCAAAGCCGGGCCAAACCCTGCTTTACTGCCGCAGAGTTCTCCCCCTACCCCAGCCCCAATCCCTCTGAGAGGGGCCAGCAGCAGCGGTGCAGCTCCTTCGCGAGGCTTTAGAACAGCCCAGGTATTGAGGGAGGTTCTTCGGAGACCTTTAAAAGGCCGTTTCCTTTCCCGGCACTGAACAGCGACGTGATACTCACCTGTCCTGCCGTGTCACAGAGCTGGAGTCTCACAGGCCGCCCATCCACGGACACCACAGCTTAAAAACAAGACCAACATGACCATCAGGTGGTGTCTTTTAAGCCCGTTTGGAACAACGACAGTTTTAGCTAGCACTACCATTTTCTCTCCAAACCCTTCAGCTCCTCTTCTGGGTCCCCTAAGGAATTAAAGACCCGCCTGAAACAAGCAGGCCATAGAGGCATTTTTCTATACAAATCTCCCAGAGCTGGCAATTCACTCCATTGCCACAGACAGGCAGCAAGTCCCTGAGCCCTTTGATGGCACCCCAGAAGGGCCTGCGCCTTTCTCCCAGCCAGGAAGATTCATTTTCCTGTCACTCTAGTTTCAAAAAAACCTAAAAACCACACTGGAGGGTAAGTGGAAACCAACTTTACAATTTTAAATCAGTGGAAAACCTCACAAATAATTGTTTTCCCTTGGGAAATGTTCTGAGACTTCAGGGTATATCATAAAATTGTAGCTTGTTTTGGGAACATGTGCGAACCCACGTTGCCGGGCATTGTCCTGTTTATAAAAGAGGGCACTGCTTATCTCTCCCTGTCAGCTCTAAGAGAGACTGGAAAAGAGAGACATGAAAGGCCCCGTGGCCACCTTTGTGCGGGGATGAAGTGTCTGGGGGGGCGCCTGCATCAGGGCAGGCCTGAAAGTTTCTACTCGAATTAAGCCTTCAGTTTCGTCTCAATACAACTTTCTAAATTGTTTATAAATGTTTATACTAGTGAGTTGAGAGGAAAAAAGGAAAGAAACAATTCCCTTGATGTGGGAAACCCACTCGCACAGCTGTTTTACCTAGGGACCTTGAGATGGAAGAAAGCAAGCCCTTGCCATCACGACTTTTTAAGAAGTGGAGAAGCAATTTTTTTAAGAGTGCGCGAGAGAAAGTGTTTCACACTAGCTTCTGTGGATTTTAATTTTTTCTTAAATTTCAAAAAGACAAGAAAAATCAAGATAAAAGATTTCTTTATCTTTGTATCTACCAAACCAAATAACACAGTACCCCATACCTAAGAGCTTTACGTAGCTCAAAGAGACACTGAAAAGATACTAAGAATCAGAAACTGGGCCATGGGGGGAGGTGGAAGTGCGGCAGTGGGGGCGGGGGTGCCTCAGAAGGGAGGAATCGATCGTGTTTACTCTTCGGGTTTAATCCAAACCTAAGACTTCACTAGTGCCACCAGCGCTATTTCCACTGAATCAACTATTTTACCATCTCTGCGGCTCTTTGAATTGGAGAAGCCCCTTGTGAGGGGAGCCGCCGAAAGGAAAGGACTGACACTGGAGGCCACATGTAATGGCACCTGCGCGTCACCTTCCGATTGAAACTGGCAGTGGCGCCAGCAACGTCGACCTTACGCAACTTCTGTCCGCAGCAAACTGACCCAGCAACCTGAACTCTACCTGTTTGATCCTCGCTCGACTGTGACTAAATTGCGGGGTCATTTCTTTTGCATCGCCTCTGACTCTCGGTCCCCGCCCCCTCCTCCAGCTCTGGTTGTGGGGCTCCCCACTCCTCCGCGGTCCCTCGGTTTGCTCGGCGCTCGCCCCGTCCCCGAGGCTCAGGGAACGTCCTGCACTCTGCCCTGGGTCCGCTCCCGGCCGGAGTTGAGAGCCCGGGGCCCCGTAGCCCCCTCGAGGCGCCGCGGCCCTCGCCCCGCGCTCCCCTCTCTCGGCACTGTGTCCGTCAGCACCGCGTCCGCGGACGGCGGCCACGCGCCCCCGCCCCGGGCCCGCTCACCCGAGAAGTTGTCGAAGGCGGTGGGGATGTACTCGGTGGGGTAGCCGTTGGTGGTGTAGCTCACCACCAGGCTCGTCTTGCCCACGGCGCCGTCGCCGACCAGCACGCACTTGACGCCGCGCCCCTCTGCGCCGCCCGCGCGCCCCCGGCCCCCCGGCGCCCCGGGCCCGCGCCCTCCGCGCGCCCCGCGCTCCCGGCGCGGCGGCACGGGCGGCGCCTCGCAGCGGCCCGGGAACGCGGGGTCCCCCTGCTGCGGGGGCATCGGTGCGCGCGCTCGGACGTGCAGGCGCGGGCGAGCAGGGCCCGGCCCGGCCCGACCGCCCCGCCGTCCCGGAGCCCTCCGGGAACGAGGAGCTGTCACCGACCACTCCGGGCGCGTGCCCGGCCCCGAGAGCGGCGGTTCCGGGCACGGCTGCGGACAAAGGCGGCCGGGGAGGGTCGCGGCTCTGTGCTCCGGCGGCGCCACCCGACTCTGCTCCGCGCGGTCGGAGGACTGCGGGTCGCGCGCTGTGGAGCCCGAGCGCTCTGTCTCCTCCCGGCTTCCCGGCGACACGACGCGTCGGGGGCGGGCGGGGAGGGGAAAGAGGCGGGCCCGGCCCGGCAGCTCCGTCCCAGAGCCGAGGCCACAGCGCCCCCAGCCTGCGCGCCGGGTCCCTGCACCCGCGCCAGAGCCCGTGCCACGCCGGGCGGGCGCGGACCGCAGACGGCGGCTCCGGGGACCCAGAGCACCCGCTCTGGGGGCGACGCCTGAAAGAGCCGGACTGGGCGAGCGCAGCTTCTTCCCCAGCGCCAGCGACGGACACCATCGCGGGGCTGGCCGGGGAGCCGCCTGATTGCGCCGCGCGGGCAGGGCCGCCTGGGCTTCCCCCGGTATCTCGCCGCGCGCCCCCCTCGCCCCCTCCTTCCTTCTTGGTCGGCGCCTGTGCTGTGGGACCCAAGGGGAGAAATAAACTGTCTTGGGGACATGTCGTCTGAAGGAGACTAAATTAACAGGCAACTTTTTTTTTTTAATTCTAGCTTCAGCCCATCGTGTGATTTTTCTTCCTTTAAAATAATTTATTCTCGTATCATTTGGGAGCGGAAGGGTGCCAGGTCCACTGTTAATGCTCACTTGACTTTCTCTTGGGCATGCCATGAACCAGCAAATTTCTGTATAACCCCAATTCCTTCATTTACTTAAGTATAATTTCGTGACATTAATATCATCTGAAAAAAATTTACCTTTTTCTCTGACTCTTTCCTCTCTGCCTTCCTCCTACCTGTGGCCAACAGTCGCCTCAGAAAACAGGGAGGCCTCTCTGGGCCCAGGCAGGACTCAGAGGCTCCTTGGGGTTTACAGTATGGTGTGAGGAGAGGCACATGCTATCTGCACAAATACTGATGCTGCAACTAAGAATAATAAAAATAGCCACAGCTAGCAAATATTCAGCCTTTCTCACGTGCCAGACCCTGTTGTAAGCACTCCGCCTGAACTTAAATCCTTTGGTGTTAACGTTACTTATCCTCATTTTACAGATGAGATAATCTAAGGACAGAGATGTTGAAGTGCTCAAGTTCCACAAGCTGGTAAGTGGCAGTGACAGGATCCAAACCCAAATAGTCTAGCTCCAGAGCCTCAGCTCTTAACCATGGTCCTGAGAGCAAAAACACACTGCGTCATAAACGCAGACTTGGAAGAGTGGCTGTGGTGGGAATGGAGAGGTGGATTTATCAAGAGGCCAGATGCTTGAATCCGGGTCCCTTTGCTTGCAAAGAACCCTTCCCAAGCCCTGGGGACCCTAGCAATATGAACACATGGTTATAGATTTTTGTAAATTTTACATAATAATTTATTTTAACCACCACCAGTTAAGTGTACTGTCTCTTTCAACTCTCACTTCCCCTCATATTGAGCAGCTTTGAAGTCACTGTGGACATTTTAGGGATCAAGCCAAGGAAAGTGAAGTTGGGGAGACGTTTAGTTTGGGTTTAATGGATACACAGCCAAGACTAAGGTGAGGCAAGGGAGGTGCCAAGGGAAAATTTTAAGGGAGCCAACCTTGCACATCAGCCTGACCCTGAGGATGTGTGCCCCTTGAAGTTCTGAGCCTCAGGTGCCTGGCTTGCCTCTCCTTAACCCTGACCATGATGGAATATATTTACGCGGTTTATAACTCCTATGTGTAAGTATGTTCTTGCTGTGTAAGAATGGCTACCAGTGACATGCTTACTACCCTCTGTGGAATCACGTTGGTGTCTACCTGAACTGTCCTACAGTCCCTGGCACTGGAAGGATTCCAGTAGCAAAGGATGAACAGAGTTTGAGATGGACCAAGCAGAAGCTAGTCTGTGGTAATTCTTGCCATCATAAAACACATAGTCTTGTTAGAGAGGATTTGGCTCTCTCCACTACACCTGGTCAAATGGAAGTTCACTCCTGTCAGGAATATACTCCACATGCAGCATATATAGTTATAAATGCACCATACATTTTTGGAGGAAATCACATGACATAGAATTGATGTGAATTCCTACTTTTGTGAGGACACAAATCTGTGGTAGTATCTCAAACAGCAAGTGTACCTGCATGTGAAGTACGTTTCCATTCTTCTCATGGAAAACATATCACAAAATTGCAAAACTGAAAAAGTGGTCAAAGGCTATGCAGCTAGGGAGATATGGGGAGACGTTGTTCAAGGGGCACAAAGTTTCAGTTATACAAGATAAAAAAGTTCTGGAGATCTCATGCACAACAATGTGACTATAGTTAATACTGTATTACATACTTAAATTTGCTAACAGGGTAGATCTTAAGTGTTCTCATACACAAAAGTAACTAAGTGAGGTGATGGATATGTTAATTACTTTGGGGTGAATATTTCATAAGGTATACATATATATCAAATTATCAAGTTGTATAACTTAAATGTATACAACCTTTAATTGCCAGCTATACCTCAGTAAAGTTGGGGGGAATGACGTGCAGCTAAAAAATACTAAAAAATAATATTATCAAGGTGGGTCAGGCAGTTTATTAAAATGTTTTCTTGTGGATTTTTGTAAAGTTTATGGTGTTTGTCAGCCTTTTAAATTTTATAGCTTGTTGTGACACATTTCTCATTTTAAATCTATGTTTATTTTGTACCTAATTTTCTATTCTTAAATTTTTATGCTTTCTCTTAAAGAAGGCCCCAAAATTTGACAAGCTTCAGGCCCTACAAAATTTGGCTCTATCCTGACCACTGGCCATATATTAGTTTTTGTATCCTGTAGCCTCTGCCTCTTGTTTTACTTTCTTTAAAAAAAAAAATTATTCAATTCACTCATGTCTTCCACCTCCCTACACCCTGCTTCTTGCAACCACTAGTCTGTTCTCTGTATCTATGAACTTGTAGTGTTGTTGTTGTTTTAGATTCCACGTGTAAGACAGATCTTAGAGTATTTGTCTGTCTCTGTCTGACTTATTTCACTCAACATAATGCCCCTGAAGTCGATCCATGTTGTTGCAAATGGCAGGATTTCATTCTTTTTTATGGCTGAATGATATTCCATTGTATATATGTACTACAATGTCTTTATGCAATCATCCATCAGTGGAAACTTGGATTGTTTCCATATCTGGGCTATTGTAAATAATGCTGCAGCAAACATGGAGGTGCATATGTCTTTTCAAATTAGTGTTTTTGTTTTCTTCAGATAAATAACCCAGAAGTGGAATAGCTGGATCATGTGGTAGTTCTGTTTTTAATTTTTTGAGGAACCTCCATACTGTTTTCCAAAGTGGCTGCACCAATTTACATTCTCACCAACAGTGCGCAAAAGTTCCCTTTTCCCCACATCCTCGCCAACACTTGTTATTTCTTGTCTTTTGAGAGTAGCTATTCTAACAGGTGGTATCTCATTGTGGTTTTAATTTGCATTTCCCTGATGATTAGTGACGCTGAGCACCTTTTCATGTACCTATTGGCCATCTGTATGTCTTCTCTGGAAAAATGTCTGTTCAGATGTTCGTCCATTTTTTAATCATAGTGTTTGTTTTTTTGCTATTGAGTTGTATGAGTTCTTTATTTTGGATACTAGCCCTTTATCACATATATGATTTGCAATTGTTTTATCCCATTCAGTCGATTGCCTTTTCATTTTATTGATGGTTTCTTTTGCTGTGCAGAAGCTTTTTAGTTTTACTCCCTATTTTTATGCTGTCCCTTTTATGTTGAATATTGTCACACCCCACTCATTTTGACCCATCTTTCTAGATTTGACTTAATCAGCTCCCTGCAGCCTCATCTAAAATACCAATAACGAATTCTTGCCCTATTTCTAATAATCTTCTGCAGCGATGCAGGAAAGCAGACCCCACATTGCACCATGCAGTATCTCATTCAAGTCCAGAAGTAGAGAGACGGCCTCGGGTGGCAGAATGTGACTGAGGTCAGGGACTGCAAGAGGCCCCTCGAGCGTGTGGCTCCAGATCACACGATGCATGTTTTGGTCTGTCTGTTTACTGTCCATCTCCCCTTGCCAGCCCCATGAGGTCAGGGACTTTTGTTCATCCCTATACCTCACACCTAGAATTGTGTGGGGCAAATAGTAAGTTCCTCTTTCTATTAAATATTTTTAGAACACATAAATCAAATTTGACTACCTCTTGAAGCAATTAATATGAAACACCATTTCTTTGCTTTCTTTTAAGAATGCATTACCCCTCATGTACTCCCCTTTGTATTCCACCAGGACGGCACAGTTGCAATATCTTCATTGTGTCTTGGATCTAGTAAATTTGGGAAATGCTGCACTTGCCTGGGTGCAGAATTTCTGCTCTTAAGATCTGATCCCCTGCACTAACTTCAGCTGGATGGGCTTAGTGTCTGTTTCCCTCTTCCCTGGTAACTTTGGAACTCATGAAAGCTCCTCTTTTTTGCTCTCGTCCCTTGGAGTGGCTGTTTTCCTGACTGAGCCCTGACCACACTCTTCCTTGGTCTCTTTTTTCCACTGAGGATGCCATCCTAGAAAAACAAATAATCTTGGCATTTTCACTAGAGAAGATGAGAGAATCATTTAAATGTCACCAAGTCACCAGCTGATCCACCAATGGGTCTTTGTCAGTAATCACAAAAATCCCTGAACTCTCCCACCAGCTAGTACTATGGTAAGGGTTCATAGACATGGTCCAACCTGTTGATATTGGTGCCCCGTCTCTAGATGTCTTTTTGTCATTTGCCATTACCCTGTTGGTAACTAGAATGAATAAATTAAGATCTCCCATTGGCATGATGAATTTTTCAGATGTGAAAATAAATCATTACTTTTGATTGTAAAAAATATTTCTGGAAATAAAATGTTTATATTGTTTCTATTGGTCAGATTAGGCTAGTCTGTGCTGCAGTGATAAATACACTCAAAATCTTAATGCCTAGGAACATAGGAGTTAATTTTTTGGTCATGCAAAATCCACTGCAGATCTAGTGGGTCTGCAAGGCAGCTCCCTTCCAAATGGTGACTCAGGCATGCAGTCTGCTTGCATCTTGTAACTGTGCCACCTGGAACACATGGTTTACAGGAAAGAGAGTGTAGAGGGTCATGTGCCATCTATTAAATGCTTCCTCTTGGAAATGACTTCTGCTCACAGCTCTGTATGTGTACCATGCATTTCTGTGTATGTACCCATGCGTACAACAGCCATTTTATAGTAGTTCAAAACTGCAAACAATCTAAATGTCCAAAACAGTAAAATGGATCAGTTAATTTTGGAATTTGTGTTATATTATTCAGTCAAGAAAATGAATAAACTACAGATCAATACAACAACAATAATGAATCTCACTAACATAATGAGGAGTGAAAGAAACCAGACACAAAAAAGTGTAAACTATCTGGATTTGATGTATATAAATGGGCAAAACTAAACAGTTGTTGGATGTCAGAGTAATTGAGAGTAATTGTTATATTTGAGAAGGAGAGGGGCCACTGGGGGCTTTTGATCTTCAGATATGTTCTAAGTGGTGGTTACATAGGTGTTCACTTTCTATTAATTAATTATACTATATATTTGTTTTATTAACTTTTATGAATTGCATTTTATTTCAGAATTACTGTAGTTAAAATGGCCTATAAAACTTATAAATATAAATTAAAAGGGATTCTTGGTTATTTGCATTTTAAAGAACTATTTCCTTTAGCCTAGCATGGTACTAATTATATATTGTATACTTTTTTTTTTTTTTTTTTTTTTGCTGAGGAAGATTCACACTGAACTAACATCTGTTGCCAATCTTCCTCTTTTTGCTTGAGGAAGATTCGCCCTGAGCTAACATCTGTGCCAGTCGTCCTCTATTTTTGTATGTGGGTCGCCACCACAGCATGGCTGCCGGTGAGTGGCATAGGTCCACACCTGGGACCGTACCCAGGCCACTGAAGTGGAGCCAGCTGAACTTCACACTAGACCATGAGGCCAGCCTCTGTATGCTTTTTGAATTAAATAACAAACTCTTATAGTAAAATTTAAATGTGATTTGATTGACTGAATCCTATTTATACAAACTCATCCAGGAACACATAGCATGAAGTACTGCTGTACAGTATTTACA